ACTTTAATCTCAGAATTCTGACTTTTTTCACAGAATTCAGACTTTTTTCTCAGAATTCTGACTTTTATCTTAGAATTCTAACTTTTTTCTCTGAATTCTGACTTTTTTCTCAGAATTCTAAATGAAGTCTGACAGCTAACAAACATGTTAGCATCAAGCCTTAGCCATAGACTAAACTAGCTCTCTTGTTTTAATAACCTGCTCTTCCATTTAAGAAATAGCATCACTTTTTACGTGCCCTCGGGCACCTAATTCCGTCATTTTCCACTAATGTGTTACCGGCCATCCAAAACAACTCACATCTTTGTCAGTGAAGCTGAGTGCTCCCACATCTCCTCCCTCATGGTGCACATCTATATTAAGATCCAAAATTCTGAGAATTTTCCTTCAGTGGCCCTAATCCTCTTCCGTACTCTTCCGTATGTAACAAATTATGAAAATCACTTGTTAACTTATTCAAAACTTGTTTTTTTATCTGTCAGGGTTTACAGTGACAAGTTCAGTTTAGAAAAAAATATTTATGGCAGGGTATCGACTCAATTACAATTGTCAAGATTTAAAATCGATTTTTTTTTCTGGAATCCGATTTCAAAATTACATTTATGCATTACAGTAATGGTACTTAAAATTATCCATTGCTATAAGAATCAATATGCAAATCGATTCTGAATAGGAAAATTTATGCTTTTTGTTTTTAAACAAAACCATAACAATTATTTCATGATAGGCTTTAAAGAGTTTAAATATATTTATGATGGAAATGTCCACCTGTCCTTAGCTGGGTTAACCAAAAACTGGGCATTTATTCAACTGTAGCTTCCAGCTACTATACCAAGGTTTTGCTTCAATATTTCTGTTTTATAAATTTTATCATGTTTTACATGAGACAAAACACCCAAACACAGTGTTATGCTGTCATGCCCTGTTGCAGTCGTCCTTCTCAGACCTTAAGCTTCCCCATTTTTTAGTTTTTTTATGAAAATGGAAAGCATGATTGTGGCAAAGTTAACAAGATATTGTTAATAATGACGCTGAATAACAGCTAAAAATATTAATTTTAGTTTATAATTTCCTTCTTCATGTGTATTCAAACTCTAATATTTCATATAACTTAATGAGTTATAAGTTGTACCGCAGGTGTCTTTATAAAAATCAGAATTCCTTTATTAATCACTTGTAGGAAATTATTTTCTTGCGGTGCAACCGTTTACAGAAGAGAGAAAAATAAGATTTTAAGTATAATAGAGCAAAATTAACTATAGTATAATAAGACAGAATAAAACAGGTAAAATTACAACCCACACAATAAAATTACACCCTCCCCATATAAACGGTGTAAAATAAGATATATGAATAAAATACGGATCACATTATATACGGTCAACAGTATTTACAATTTACAGTGCTGCTCAGTACCAAATTACAGTTATTGTACATGATTGTGTTGTTACGCATGGTCAAGTAATGAAATAAATAGATAGTAAGTAATTAAATTAAATTACTTTCAGAGAGATGAATAATACAGTTTGATGGAAACAGGCAGAAATGACTTCCTGTGGTGCTCTGTGGTGCAGCGTGATGAAATAAGTATTGAAAAGCATAAAACATAAAAGTTTAATTAGACACAAATGTAATAAAAGTAAGAAAATGTGAAGAAATTAATGGGCTAGTCTGCAACTGCCAGCACACAAGATGATGCATGCGCAGATACTTTTTAAGCATGATCCACTCAATTTTTTTTTATATGCATTTGATTTATTTTCTCCTTATAATTATGTCAAAGACGGAGGCATTGAAGATCAGGTGTTGCCTTTTGAGGCCGCAAAGATAAGCCTCAGTTTAATTTCAATGCTGTGAATTCACCAATCAGAGTTCGAAAGCATTGGCATTCTCATTACATAAGGGCTCTGAATGTGTATCGACAGTGTATCTAACACTGTGACTAAACATATATGTAGATACTGCAGCCGAATACATTATTCAGTGTACTTCCTATTCATAAACCTAGATTTCAGATGTATACTTCTGCCTAATTTTATACTATTCATTTCTATTTGGCTCTTTATGCTTTTTATCTTATCCTATTTATTTTAGAAATATATTTTGAATGTTCTCCTTTTCCCTCCGGAAATTAATAAAGTCATCTTGAATCATGAATTACTCTTTCCTGACCTAAAGCAGTGAACCTTTAGTGGATGAAAAATAAGGTTTCAAGTTCTACTTGGCAACTATTCCATAAAGTGGGGTTGAGATCAAATTCAAGCCCATAGCTCTGCATTAGAAATATTGGGCTTTTAAGTTTTTTATTCTAATTTTAAATTGTTCTCATTGGCTGTGAGCTGAAAACTATTACGACAAATAGAATTAAAGGCATGAAGAAATCGGTTATATGTTTGGATATGAAAGCTCCCCTTTATTTGAGCAAACACAGGTGTTGCAGGGGAGCCTCCTCAAGAAAAGACAAGATAAAGAACAAGGAGAGGAAAGAAAAGTTTGTTTATATAGCAGATTTTAGCGGCATGACAATTCAAGTGCTGTACATAAGATGTACAGAAAAGTACATTAAAGTGGCTTAAAGGCAACAAAGTAATTGAAGACAAAAAATTATTTATTAATATACAATGATTGAATTAAAATTACAAAAAGATAAAATGTTTCATTATAAGAAGAAAGGAAAGCCAGGCTGATGTTTAGATAACACACTCAAAGGTCACTGTCTAAGCAAATATGTTTTTAATCTTGATTAATGGCAAATTAGGATTTCTGTGGGTTGCATTTATAAATTTTTTAGTTTGTTCCAGATTAGTGGAGTTAAAAGCTACGTCTCTGTGTTTAGTTCTGGATCTGAATATGCAGAGAAGGTTTGAGCCAGAAAATCTGAGATGTCAAGGTGAATGATAGATTGATAAATTTGTAATTTATTTTAGAGCTAATCCCTTCAGTGATTTGTAGACTAGCAGATGAATTTTACAGTCAGTTTTTTTTTTCCATCCTGACTAGCTACCCTTGGCAAAGCAAAAGTGTTGGGCAGAGCACGGCACTCAGATTCCAATTCTGTTGCCATAATGCTGAACACTACAGGGGGGAAAAAAGTATCTTACAGTCTATTTCAGAGAAGGGGAGCCAATGTAAAGCTT